CTAGATAATGGGTCAACTTTCTCTCTAAAAGTGGGCATAACTGAAGAAAGTGTCGTAGTTTCCCTGAAGACTGTTTTTATTCCCCACTTCCTTGCTTGTTTATAGAGAATGCACGAAGGTAAAAACAAAACATGAGAAAAGGTATCTTTCCTTATGTATTTACCATTCAAAAAGCTATTCTTTATTAATCTAATGTTATTTTCAATCAAGCCTAGGGCATAATTATTCTCAAGAAATATTATTTTAAGCCAATCCAGTTAATCTTCACAATGGTCGGCTATCGGTTAGTCTTATACTCCTAATACTCATAGATTTTAAAACTCCTACCCTTGTTTCATAAGTATGATTATCAAAAGAATATTCCAGTACAGCCAATCGACAGCTGGTCAAGAGGAATCCGTCGTCATCTTCTGGTGTACTCGACCTTCGAATCTCTTTACCAAACACTTTCGCTCGAAATGGAAGTAAGCTCAACAACGAAGTAAATTACCACAAACGATGGAACCATCCTTAAAATAGTCTTTTATTTATTCAAAATCATTTGATAATCAAAATATTTTCGAGTTTGTTGTATTACCTTTTTCCCTTTCCTTTGCGCTTCTCTTTACCTTTACATCTTTGTCTGTGGCTCTTTATTTCAGATACAAATAATCCCTCACATCAACACTTGGTCCTGCATCCTTGTCCAGCTTCTTCTGCATCACCTTTGCTCTCATCACGACCTCTGCCTGGCCTGGTTGCCAGTGCTACTGCCACCCATCTTTTGCCCGGTATCGTCACAAGCTCTGCTGTACTTGGGTCTGGTTTCACTGTTGGCGAAGCTGCATTTTGCTCCTCTGCAGCTAATACTCCGGATATAAGTACTTGCATCACTTCCAGTGCCACCACTATGGGATATTTGGTTGCTTCACAAACAGCCCCTTACACTGGTCACTCGAGCTCCGGGATTAGTCCAGCTTATGCAATAGAGCAGCCGCAACCAGTTCGACGGGTCTCAGATTCTGATTCAAATCAGCACACGACCACTTATTGTCCTGCGCAGCAGCACCAATACTTTACCACGCCAACTTCCGTTGCCTTATTACATCAACCGGGGCCCCCATCAACTCTCGCTATGACTGGTTCTCAAACGGCTTTTTCCATGCCTTACTCTTCGGCGCCTCAAAGTCAGCAGCATCAGCAACCTCTACCGCCGCCTTCTGCCCCACCGTCTCCGCTTCAGCATTATGTTTCTCCGACATACGCCGCATTGCAAGTCCCCGCTAATCAAACTTTGCGGCAGACTGGCTCTCCCGACAGATTGACCCCAATAGGATCTGCTCTTCTTTTGTCTAATAACAATATGGTCGCCTCATCTTCCTCTTCGATCCCCATCTCCTCCACCACTACTACTGCGGGAATCTACACTGGGTCTAGACCCATGACATCGCATGGTTATGGAGCATTGGTTTTGCCTAGTTCCGTTTCTGGTCATTTTACAATGAAGGCCTATTCAGCCGTTAGTCTGGCGGCTTCTTCTGCTGTGAATGTCGCACCAATAACGACGTCAGCCACCATCCATAATAATAACACAGGTGGCATTGCCAACAATAATGCCGATGATGTTGGCTCTTCTGTCCTTGAAAATACCTCATTTTTTCGCACGGCTTCGCATCTTCAGCATCACCAACAGCAGCAGCACCACCAATCAATACAAAAGCATTCAATTGCCCAACTTCAGTCTCATCACCAACCTGTCTTGATTTTGCCTCGCCAGGCGCATGGATCGCCCGCTTTACTTCCTTCATCATCTGCTCTATTCCATCCGCAAATATCTCGACTGGCTACTCAACAATCGAATCAATTGCATTCTCAAGTAAAACAGCCTCAACAACAACATTCACGATACCAGATGCAGGTTGGTGCTGCATACACTCCTCCGCATCAGCTGCAACAGCTTCAGAGCAATCAGCAGCAGCAACAGCTTCAGGGCCTTGTGCAGCCGAACCTATCGCTACGCCCTGGAACAGACAGGCTACCACAGCCACATCTTTCTGATTATAGTGTGGCCCAGACGAGTGATGTTGTTACCCCTCCTAATCGGATTGCTGTTAGAACTGATCCTCTTATCTGCACTTCTACCCCTGGCATGACAGGAATTGTCAGTGCCCCAGGAGCTGAATTTGTGAGTGGACATGCTGCAGGCTCTACTACCATCGCAACGCACTGCCATTCAACTGCTGCTCTTCCGCCGGTAGAAGATCGACGTATCCGAGTTTCTGCTATTCGAACGACATTGGCACATGTGACTAATTGTCAATCCTTGGCTTCAGGTGGAAGTGAGGCTCGAAGCTATTCTCTTTCAGTGGCTGCGTTGGCAAGCGGTAATTCCGGTTCAACGGATACGATTGGAAACACAAAAGAAACGGCTCTATCTACTCCTCGTGGCACGTTGCTGGTTCCACAAACTCAGCCTCATCAGAACCAACTCCAACCGTCTCAGTTGCAGCAGGCACAACAACAGTCTACAAACCAGTTGGGGCAGCAGATTTACATATGTGAAATCTGCGCCGATAAGGCGTCTGGCAAGCATTATGGTGTGTATCCCATACCTTCAATTATATTTAATGGTTGTTTGACCTTGTTTTCGCAACTTGGTCCTATTGGTGGAATGACTTAGAGGAACGCGCCTAGTCCGGAGTCCATTGTATGCATAATCATTTCTAGAGTAGGACCGTGGACGTGGTACATTCCCAGACGTTTCTGGCATTTCAATGAGTATCGCCATTCTGAGCACCATATTACAACTCGTTAAAGAGACAAGTGAAGCCCATCCTTTGACCAAACACGTGCTAAACAGTTTTGGTATCTCCCCTTCTGCCCTGGGCTATTCACATTTCCTATATCCTCCCATCATGCCTTCCCTGTCACAATTTTTACCTTGCTTATTTTTAATGTAGTGTGGTGTGCTCCTTCGAGTGGCATTCATGAAAACCCTTCAAACTCCACGCTGTCGTTATCACCCCCTTCACCCTTGTGCGGGGAATGTTGACCAGTCTGTCATATTGTTACGTAGTCCTTCCCTGGGTCATATCAGAGTCTCCCTCGTGCCCCGTAGAATCCTTCTGCTATCTCTCTGGTACTTGTATTTCATTCGACCCTTGCCCCTCCCCATCTGTGCTACTTGAGGCATAATTCGTCCCCTCTGGATCTCTTGTAAAACCTACTGTCAGCCAAACTAGCTCCAATCGCCGCCTCGTCTATCCTGTTTCTATTCCTAATTCCAAGTCTATGACTTTTCATGCCCTAGTCGCTTGTGTGCCAATCCACAAATGTTGTGGTACTGCTGGCTTTGATTAGGTCAATGTTGAACCACAACGTTTGTGGGTTGGCACACAAGAGACTAGGGTATGGGAAGTTATAGACTTGGCATTAGAGATATAAACAGAATAGAAACAATGGAAGCTAGAGCTACTTGGCTAACATTAGTCGTGATTCAAGGATCACGTTTATGATCAAACACGTCTATTGTTAGCCAAATAGCTTTAGTCACCATCGTTTCTTTCCTGTTTCTATCTGTAATACCATGTCCTAGTCTCTTGTGTGTCAACCCACAAATGTCATGGTTCTACTTGTTTTGACTAGGCTCACTGAAGACGTCTCTTCTTTGCTTCCAATTGTTATTTTCTCTTCCTCTTGCGATGTCTTTTCCTAAAATTAGCGATATTACCTTGATCCAGTCGTCTTCTTTTTGCTGACCTCGCTGTTGCCTGGTTTTCTCCGAGTTTGTTTAGGCAATATGCC